ATGCGTCCGATCGAAGCAGGTGAATGGGACCCAGGGTGCAGCACCTTAAACCCCGAACCTTACTTGGAGTCTCAGGGCACTTGGTAACTCGGGTTCTATATAAAGCAAGTCTCCTGTGAACAACTTGCATTATCCTGCGCGTGTAACGCGACCTGATAAGTCCCTTGACCCTTAACCCAAAACCTAAACCCTAGACCCTAAACCGACTACAGTATCACCCGAAAACGCGACACGAGCCAAATCCCAGGTCCCACAACCTTGAGTCAAAGTCTTGAACCCTGAAACCACGGTTTAGGGTTTAGGGTTCAGGATTTAGGGTTTAGGGTTCAGGGTTTAGGGTTTCGGGACTGACACCTTAAAACCCAATTTCGGAAATCTGAGCCCTATCCATAGGCTCCTTAGTAGTTCCTTCCTGGGAGTACCTTATAGGATTCAAAATATAAACCACACAATCGAACTACTGAGGAGCCTATGGGTAAGCCTAAACCCTAAACCCTGAAACCTACTTCTATGGGTAGATTCCAAAAATGTGGAAAGCCGCCTCTTCCTGTACGCAGCCGGGGCCGCCGAAGGAGACTTCCTGGCCTGAATCAGTTTTCGGGGTGTCGGGGTTTAGGGTTTAGGGTTTTAGGGGTTTCGGTTTAGGGTTTAGGGTTTGGGGTCTGGGGTTTAGGGTTTAGGGTTCGGGGTTTAGGGTTTAGGGTTTGGGGTTTAGGGTTTAGGGGTTTAGGGATACCTTTCTCATCAGGAGGCCTCGCGGCTCTCAGGTTTATTGGCTCAGGACCCTTTTCGCGGTGTTCTGAGAGTTGTATCATAATTTCCTGCTTTGGCTAGAAGTTGTTTCGGGGTTTTCTGGCTCTTGTAAAGGGATTTAATTTAAGTTACCATAGTCAGGGAACCCATATCATTTACGATAGATTCCGTGGATTTCCATGATGGTAACTTACATAATATCCCTTAACAAGAGCCCTGTTCTACAGGCTCGTATTGTCTTTGTTTCGGGCTTGGTGTCGCTTCTCAAGGCTCAGGCGTTACATTGCTTGACACAGGCATGGGTTTCACGTAATTTGGGGTAAGTGCTTTGGGCTGTATGATAGAATATAATATAACATCACATCCGACCATGCCATAACATATCATATCAGATCATAAAATATCTGTCATCATACTTTGCTATCATATCAGGGCACGTGGCATTGTCATATCAGATCGTTACAAGCTTTGAACAAATTGTTGGGAAGGCTTCACTTGGGCTTGCAATCCTTTCTGAGTCGAGTCGGGCGTTGCTGGGCTTAGGAGGCTGGGCGAGTTGGACTGTCTTGAAGACCCAGAGAGCCCAATACCCCTTAATTAAGGAGTATGACTTAAATCATAATATTAAGGCCCCTATAATTTAAGGTGTTTTCCTTGGTATTGGGTTTCTGGGGAGCCGCAAGTCAAGCTTGGCTGGATGAAGGCCCGGGACTGGTCTAGCAGTTCAGCAATGGCTGATGGACTGGAGACAGATTGAACATGCATGGGTAACACAATTTAGCATCATCATATATTGTTCAAATCAAGCTCCCTTCCGACGGTGTTTCAGCTCCAGCCCTGCAGCCCTGCATTCAGTAGTAGCAAGCCGGATCCGATAAGCTGCGCTGACAGTTTTTTTCCGAGGTTTTTCAAGGAAATACAGACGGCTTCTCGCAAGATCGCCTGGAGATCACGAGACAAGAACAACCTGGCATAAGAAAAACGATGGCAGGAGCGTATCTTGACTTTACAGTTCTGGATGGAAGCATCTGGTGGTCAGAACTGAACGAAACTCACCTTCAAACACAAAGCCGAGCCTTCTTTCATATAGGCAATCTTTGGTCCATTGAGCAGCACCTCGGTATTCTCTCATGTGGGCTCAGCCGGAGCCGAATAGCGCGTGGAGCCCTCGGCAAGGAAATCCGGAACCCGACACTTCCACTGAGCTCAATCAGCGAACGAATCAGCAGGGTATGGTTGTTAGTGAGTCAGGTTGCTTCACAACCCCTGAACCCTGAAAGCCCTCAAACCCTAAAGCCTGAACATTAAGCCTAATACCCCAAAACCCTGAAACATTATACAACAGGCCGGAAAACCTGAAGCCCAAAACCCTCACCCCTAAAGCCTTAACCCTTCAAACGCCAACCCGGAAGTGGTTTAGGGTTTAGGGGTTTAGGGTTCCCAGAGAGCCCAATACCCCTTCAAGAAGGAATATACCTTGAACTATAGGGGCCTTAATATTATGATTTAAGGTATATTCCTTAATTAAGGGGTATTGGGCTGTCTGAGTTTAGGGTCTGGATCTGCGCAAGGGAACGAGGCTGGCCGGTTGTCCAGGAAAGCAGTCGCTAAGCAACAACAGCACGGCCTGCTGCAGCCGGGTGTAGAGTTTAGGATTTAGGGTTCTAGGGTTTAGGGTTTTAGCGTGTTGGCTTTAACTTCTAGGATTCATGGGTCATAGGGTTTGGGCTGTTTTGGTCTTAGGGTTTTGAGAGTGCTTGGGGCTTTGAGGTTGGGGTGCTAGAGCAGGCAACGACTGCTACTCAGTAAAAATAAACAACAAGAAGAGTAGCAACACCTAGTAGCAATAACAATGTTAATGATCGTAGAAATACTACTGCTATTACTACTACTACTACTACTACTACTACTGCCACTAGAAGAACAGCGCTTCGCTGAAGGGTTCCTATAGGAGTCTATAAAGGGTTGCTCTGAGGGTTTGGTATAGGGCCCGCATAATTAGAACAGGCTAGAATAGGGTTCTATGTAAGGGTTGCTGTTAAATTAGAGCGGACTATAAGGATACCTTTTAAGGCTAAGTATAGGGACCTTCATCATTAGAATGGGGTTCCCCTTCAGGGATTCCTTAAACGGTTCTACCAGTGTTACTCTAAGGGTTTGCTCCGTCGATTACGCGACTTAGGGGTTAGTCAATTCTCTGCCGATCTTTCGATGGGGCTTGGGGTTTGGAATTTAGTTTCAAGCGTCTGTGGAAGACGAGACGGCTACAACGATGGCCTTGTGCAAGTACTGCCCGGGCACCATCCACTGGTCCTGTCTCAATTCATCAGCAATGGCTATGACATTGGATGCAAAATCCGGGAAATGCGTGGAGGAATGCCACAAAGTGTTAAGCAGGATTTCTTGCATGCCAGGTGGAGAGCACTGCCTCGCGGCTTACAGTGAGAAGCTCGGGGTCTAGGGGTTTGGTTTGGGATTTGGGTTTAGGGTTTAGGCTTTATAGGGCTTTTAGGGTTTATAGGGTTTAGGGTTTAGGGTTTAGGGCCAATGGTCGAATAGAATTTGGAGCGATACGGCCCCCGAATTTGAGCATGTTGAGGTGCATGCAGTTGGACAACTTAGGTGCAGGCAAAGCTTATCCCACAAGTTGCCTGCATGCCCTATGACGCTCTTTTGTCAGCAAACCCAGCCAAGAAAACCTGCACGACACCATCCCTAAACATGGAAGGGGCCCAGGATGTCTCTAGCACAGCTTCCTTACGGCTGCCTCAATATTCACAGTAGTTGGGGGTGCGTGGACGTTCTCGGGGTTTTGCCACGAGGACCGCCTGAACCTGCAAAAACCCCTAAACCCTAAACCCCTAAGCCCTATAAACCCTATAACCCTAAACCCTTAACCCCTAAGCCCTATCATCCCTATAACCCTAAACCCTAAACCCCTAAGCCCTATAATCCCTTGAACCCTAAACCCTGAACCCTTTAACCCTAATCACTGCGTGTCAAGCTCGAGTCGTGAGTTGTCTGCGGGGTCCTTTCGCTTTCTTCGCGACGGCCAGGTCTTCATTGGACGGCCAAGCAACCTCTGTCCAGCAGACGGTGTTTTACAAAAACCTAAAAACCTATGCTTCTTAAAAAACCTAATCAGGGTTTAGGATTTGGGGTTTAGGGGTTTACAGGGTTTAGGGTTGAGGGCTTTAGACCTTTAGGTAGTTTGGGCCGCGAGTCGCCATTCTCTAGGGCTTCAAGCGCCTTTTAGGGCTTTCGGAAGGCCTCGCTCATTTTTGGGGATTCCAGAGCTTCAACGTGCTAGGGCAGGATGTCTCGCAGAAGCATGGAAGCTTCCAAAACAGCTTTCCGTTGGTAGGGATGGGCTGTAAGGTTTAGGGTTTAGGGCTTGGGGTTTAAGATTTGGGGTTTAGGGTTGAATGTTTACGTCCTTTGGAGTGTAGGGTGTCCCAGGCCACTGGGGTAGTGGAAGCCGCGCTATCGCAAAGTCTGTATGGGTCCCTGTAGTATCCAATTGACCCTAAGGTACCCATAGTAACTATACACCTATACAACTGAAGCCCCCTTTCTGGTACCAGTATATACTTCACAGGTACTTTAAGTGAGGCGTAATCAACCCTACAATAAATGCCAGGACAACAACAAGCAACACCGGTAAAACCTTAGCGTCCATGGTCCTAGCCCATGCCTACGTCCAGGAAGATGACTCCGAAGCTAGGGACCGAAGCAAACGGCTTGGGCCATGGCGCCGTACGGGATAGGGTGTAGTTAGGGTTTAGAGTTTTGGGGTTTAGGGTTTAACCGGTACAGAATAGGGTTTGGGGGTTTGGGTTTGAACAATTTTGCAGAACACTGCCCTCCAATATCCAGGCATAGTGAAGAGCCAGCTTCAACTGAACCCGGAGGATGTTAAGCCTCACAGTGCGCACGATGCTCAGGTACAGTGGGCATGCACGAAGCATGCCAGCTCCTGCCGATAAAGCCCTATAAACACTACACTGCGAACCCTAAGCCCTAAACCCTCAAACCTGAAACACCGCACGCCCTAAAACTCCAACCATCCCACCACTGCATCGCTCAAACGTGTCCGATTGAAGTCTGAGTGAACTCTAGGACTGCGGATCTAGGGTTTCAGGCGTAGGGTGTAAGGTGGCTTAGAGCTTTGGGCTTTAAGGTATTCCAGGAATTTAAGCGTATGGGTTTCCACTCCCGCAGGAGCTATACTTTGCAGTTCGGAGGGCCATTTCGTAGCGGATCCGCGCAGGATTCGACCGGCTGAAACCTGCGCAGCAGATGCTGGTGGAGCTGCTTGGGGTTTAGGGTTTAGGGCTTAGTGTTTAGGGTTTAGGGTTTAGGGGTGGCCAAGCTTTGCCAAATCTTCAACGTCCCGAGCCAAAGTGTACGAATGAAGTGCAATCTCCAAGGCTTACAGCTGCTGCCAAACTTGCCCTAAGCCCCCCAGTACCCCTCAATGTAAATCCCATTTTGGAAATCTGCTAAGATTCTTTCACCCATAAGATCTGGGAATGCGGGTTACCCCCTCTGCCTTGGGGCTCGTCCCGGAGAGGATACTGTTCCACTTGAACTTGCCATCAGAATGACAACCAGAGTCAGAAAAAGCATAGTCATGATACTATCATGATACTAAGGGTAAATTTAAACCCTGCAGTGACGCGGACCTCACTATGGAACAAACTTCAGACGAAGCCTCCTAGCATCTGTGCGATCTCAGGAATTCAGCAAGGTGGCCTCAACACCTGGTATGTCATGCTATGCAATGAGGAATTCTTGAATAGCAGTTCCTTGAGGTACCAGGAACCATTCTGGAGGTTCTGGGTCCCTGGGTTCCGGCTCCCAAGCTTTGCTTGTCCAGTACCTAAGGCGAGCTGGGGACTTAGAGTTAGAACTTTCAGGACTAACTTCTAAGAGCGCAGAAGTTTAAAAAGGTGCGTCTTGGTCCTGGACCATCATCAAAACACCCTGTCATTAAGTAAGGAACCCTGATACAGTAGCACTCCTACTAACCCTTATAGGAACCGGTACAGTAGACCGTACAATAAAGCTCACAAGGAACCCCACGCGTCGCGCCTTCCAGGAATAGGCATCCGAATTGGAAAACAGAGGAGGTCTGGCGATCAGGTCTTGGGGGCTTCCCTCTAAAGTACCTGGGCCCCAAAAGTATGTAAAATAATAGCCTTTCAGGGGTCTTGGGCCAGTATTTTTATTTATTTTTGGGTGTTCAGGTAGACACCAGAGAGTGATCCTCATAACCTTATAAGGTAAAGTTTTGGGAATCCCAGCTCCAAGAATCCGACATCCATCTTCCAACTTTCCTGGGTTTATTGTAAGGGTGCATCGAAGGATACTCTAGTGGGCTTCAAAACAGTTGTTAGGGCAACAGTGCAGTTATGCAGGTAATCTGTTACTCTAAGTGGAGAGTATCACTGGCTCCCTTCAAAAGTGGCATAAGATTCTTTACACATGGTTTTCATAAAAGTACTCCTCAGAATTTCGGTTTAGGGCTGTAAGGTTTCGGGTCAAACCCTGGGAGCTGCAAGCGTTGCAAGTTCTGCGCTTGAGGCCTTGACGTTGGTCGGCTTCGGTGTTTAGGGTTACGTTTAGTTTTTGTTGGTTTAGGGTTTAAGGTTAGGGTCTAGAATTTCGGGTTTTAGGGTTTGTGAATCTTCGGAGCATTCGTCGCAGAACAGGTTTGCTTCTTTCGGTTCAGGGTGGTAGGTGTTGAGTCAGTTCAAGAAGCTTGCCGCCAACACTGTGAGCTGCAGAGAAAGGCGCGCTAAAGCATAAAAAAAAACTTCAACCTCAAACCCAACACTTCCAAACTCCACAGGAGGGGTCCTCAAGGCTTATGTCAGGGTGTTTTTTGAGTTTCGGGGGGCTCAGGAAGTTCAGGATTTCGGCCCCTCAACCAACCCAATACCGCCTAAGTTCAGGAACATATCTTAAACTACGTAGTCTACTTTAGTATACCAGTATATGGTTGAAGGTACCTTCCTCAATGATGGATTGGGCTCCCTGGGATAGGCCTAAATGCTTTCAAACTAAGCCATCAAAATCTGCTGTCGACTGTACGTATGCAGCCTGAGGTAGGACTCCACCCAGAGGCGGATCATGTCATTGTGATGCTGTTCCTCCTGTGGCCGTGGCTTTGGGTGTCCGATTTCAGTTGCTTCGAGTTTCGAGACGTGGGACCGGGCTTTGCCTTTTTCCTACGGGGCTCCACCGCATCTCAGCCCTCTGCTGTGGGTACCTTGGAGGCTGGTGCTGCTCTGCAGGTACGGTTCAAAATCAAGGTAGTTTAGGGTTTAGGCGTTTAGGGTTTGGGAAGCTTGGTGCAGCTTTTGCGTAAAAAGGCTTGCTACGTGTAGTGCCGGACCGGTCACGGATGATAAGAGAAGCCAGGCCTCAACAGGAGAATCGCATCCGAATCGTATCACAATGAACTGAAAACCCAGAACCAACCCATCAAGCAACAGAAACCCCCAAACATTCATAAACCCCCCCGACCTCCATCGTAACACGGTCACTTGGACGCGGGGCTCGCCCGACTTGGGGTTAAAGCTCCCCTAACAGCAATCATTAAAGATCGGATTTAAGAATGGTGCAAAGCCCTTGTTGAAATCGCTGCTTGGAGCGGCCCAAATGTCAGGCGAGGTGGAAAGCGGGGCATTTGGGCTGCCATGGTCTGTCAGTCCAGGTTTACGGTTCAGGGGTTTACGGGGTTAGACTAACCAGGATGTTTTCCAAACGGTGATGTGCGGAGGGGGGGGTCCAGGTTTATAGGGTTCAACTATATGTTCAAACACTCCGGTGCTGAATACCTTTGTAAAGAATACTATAAAGAACACCATAAACACCTTCCGTCCAAAACAACACCATGCACATGATCCTGGGACTTCACAGCAAAAGAACAACCACTAAACTGCCACGATCCAGAGCTTAGACCCCGCACTACCCCACCCTGCAGTCCGAAATCTAAAGCAGCTAGCAACAAAACCCCAATCCTTGTACTTATAGCCTCCATCCCACACCCCGCATCCTTGCAGTACCCACACCACAAAGGCCCAAAAAAAAAGCAAAACCCACGAGGCCCCCAGAAAGCCGTGCTCCTCCTGGTCTAAGCTTTGGGCCTCCTTCGGCCTCCCAGCTCAAGCGGCAGCAGCGGCAGCAGCAGACGCAGCAGCAGCTTAGGGTTCGGGGTGTAGGCTTTTAGGGTTCAGGGTTTAAGGGTCTGGGTTTGGGTCTAGGGTTTAGGGTTTGTGGTTTTCACTCGCCGTCGTCACCGTCACTGTACAATAGAAGCACCGAAGTGGTAATGGCAGAGGAGGTGGTTGCAATGGCGGCGCGAGGTTTAGCCATGTCAGGTGTCTGGTATAACCCTAAACCCTATACACCCAATAGTGACTATAGTGGTCCTGGTTAATTGTAGTGCGGAGGTCCCGGAGCCCGAAACTTTCTCAAAAGCTCTAATAATAAGGCCCGACACTCCTGAACACGAAAAAGTCAAACCCAGGATCGCTATAGATAGGGGCTGCTATAAGGGCTCCATGTGACATTGCCATGAGCCCTGAGTAGAGATTTAAAGGTCAACTGGGTCTCCGGTACACCCCCGTCCCCGCTCCAACCTCAGCTCGGCGAAAAGGCGATCCCAAAGTGCGGTGCCATCACAGCGGCCTGGCTCCTCGCCAACAACTGACTATGACTGCATATCGGGAAAGAGAGAGAGAGAGAGAGAGAGAGAGAGAGAGAGAGAGACGAGAGGGAGAGAGAGAGAGAGGCGGAGAGACGAGAGGAGAGACGAGAGGGAGAGCGAGAGAGCGAGAGAGTCAGAGGTAAGTAAAATGTCTGCAGTCTAGAGACGGGAATGTATGCAACAACGCACATGAGAAGTATGAAAAGAAAGCAGAGCAATTCAGCTCAAACAGCTCGTTTCTGCAAAGTCTAGTGGTACATCGAAAACGTCAGAGGATTAATGTAGGCTTCAATGCAGGGCGGAGTTTATGAGCCTAGGAAGATGCGAGAATGGAGGGCAACTACAGACAACCCAAGCAGCCTTAGAACCCGATGGAGTGCATGAAGGATTAGGGTTCAAAGGTTTATGGCTTCTCAACATCCTTAAACCCTGAACCCCAAACCCCAGACCCCAAGCCTTAAACCCCAAGCCCTAAACCCTAAGCCCTCAAGCCTAAACCCTAAGCCCTACACCCCAAACCCTGAGCTCTTTAAATTCTGAACCGCTAAAGCCCCAGAACCCTCGGGAAGGCCTCGCCGCCGCAAGCGCTCAGAAGACGATGGCTGAGTGGCTCCTGCAAAGAACTTTAGGGGTTGGGGCTTAGTCTTTGGGGTTTAGGGTTTGGGGTCTAGGGAGAAGTGTAGGGTCTGGGGTTTAGGGTGTAGGGCTTTGGTGCTAGAAGGGTTCTGTAAGGCTTGTTTTGGGTTTAAGGTTTGGGGGTTCTGGGAATTAGACGTATCATGGGCTAAGGGTTCAGCACTCCATGCAAGGGCTTTATAAGTTTAGAAATTATATGGTTGCATGACGGTGCTACTAGACGAACGGATCTAGGGACTGGGGCTCTCTTAGGGGTTTAAGGGGTTTGGGGTTTTAGGGTGCAGGGCAGATGGCTGTGAAAGCAGCATGAGAAACACGGTTATTAATGAATAAGAAAGAAGCAGAGCGATGGCACCGTCGTGTTCCAGCACAGCAGTAGGGACAGTAGTACTTGCCGTCAAGATGGCTTGATGATGTCGCAGCAGAAACTATCACTCTTTCCCGTCGAACGATGTTGCATGACGTTCGAACCCTGAGCCCTATACACCCTAAACCCCATAAGCCCGACACGCTAAGCATGATCTCCTCACTCCCGAATGGCTCCAGAAGTCGGAAATTTGGAGTACCGGGCTGCGATCGGAGCTTGGGAGTTCGGGCTAAGGGTTTAGGGCGTTTAGGGCCTAGACCCCCAACCCACGAAAGATTTGGCCCCAAGGCTAAAACCGTGAAATCTGTTCATGTTGTGGGCATCCCACTGCACCTCTGAGTCCGCCGGGCCCAAGAGAAGGTCCTGCCAAATCAGGACAATTTACGGGACGGCAGGGGCCTAAACATCTAGAACAGGGCCCTTGGGAAATGCAGTGCGGCAAACAGCCAAAGGTTGCAGGGAATGGGCTTTACACTACAGTTCTAACAAGGAATACCATATAGGGGCCTTAATAATTAGAATAGGGTTGTGGGGCCCATTATAGTATAATTCCAATAAGGAACCCCCAGAATAATATAGGTAATTATTTAGGCTCCTATATTAGTTGCTCCTTGCTCTGCTCCAGTTTGTGCTCAGGATCCTACGTTCAGGAACAACCCCTGGAGCCCCCAAAACACCAAGCCGTTTAGGGTTTGGGGTTTAGGGCTTAGGGTTTGGGGGCTTGGGGTTTAGGATTTGGGGTTTGGGGCTTAGGGCTTAGGGTTTGGGGGCTTGGGGTTTAGGGTTTGGGGTTTAGGGCTTAGGGTTTAGGGTTTGGGGTTTAAGGTTTAACTCTCTTTAAAGCCCAGAGGCAGAGGGGCATAAACATACAATCTTCAGCTGGCCTTCTCGGTTTCAAGCTTCAGGCCCCTAGAACCAATATAACATAACTGATAATATGCAATATACACAATATAACTTAAACTACACAAGTACATTATGTATATTTGTGTGAATAATAGACAGGTCTATTTAAAAAAAAAGTATGTGTGTGTATATATATATGTGTATAGAGAGAGAGAGAGATCTGTAGATGCATATTGTCTAGTTCTATCTATCTAACTATCTACCTGCCTACCTACCTACCTACCTACCTACCTACCGACCTACCTACCTACCCATATAGATAAATAAATAAATATATATATATATATAAGAGAGAGAGAGAGAGAGAAAGAACGAACGAACGAAAGAAAGAAATACATGAAGAAATGAATAAAGAAATAACGACAGAAATAAAGAAATAAATTAGTAAATAAAGAAATAACGAAAGAACTAAATAAAGAAGGAAACGAAAGAAAGAAAGACAGAAAGAACGAACAAAAGAGAGAGAGAGAGAGAGAGAGAGAGAGAGAGATAGAGAGAGAGAGAGAGAGCGAGCGAGAGAGACAGAGAAAGAGAGAGATAGAGAGGAGAGGGGAAGGAGACCCGGTGAATCCCCAAGTTGCCCGAAGCAGCCCCCTGGCAGGTCCCGATTTGCGGCACCGAGCACCCAACTCTCGCCACGGTTGAGCTCCTAACCGTCGAAGAGCCGACTGTGGGTTAGGGTTTAGGGTTTTGGGTTTTACGACTTCGGACTTAGGATCAAAGGGTCCCTTTTCAGGTCCCTAATATAGTACGGCACCTTTATAAAAAGGACACTAAAAGGGACCCTAATTTAGAGAACTACACATTTGGCTTTGGAGATTGGGCGAAGATCTGGGCAGGCTGAGGTGCCCTTACTGCTCACCTTGTCATGAGTTCCTGCTACGGGATCCTGAAGCCAGTGGAGTTCAAGGTAGATAACCCAAAAATGCCCTAGTCTCCCTAGCGCTCACCAAGGTTCCCTAGTGACCGCCCGAACCCTAAACCCTAAACCCTCTCTTCTAGGCGCTTGGCACGCAGGTGGAGTGTAGTTTCCCTTAGGGTCCACTCCGAAGCCAAACCCCACACATGGTCGCAGCACCCGTGGCATCCTGGACTCTGTACCTTTGAGGAGGAGTCCGCTGGATATTTCCCCACCGTTCGCAGGCGGTGGCTGGAAAGGTTTGTCAGATTTTCTCTACTGCTATTTCGACCTCTACCACCTCCCGGACACCCAAGCTGATCTGGTTCGCCCTGGCTCGTTGGATACCGGTGGTTTCTTGTGGATGCGTATTGCCCTGCTCGGCCTGTTAGTGCTCGGGCTGTGGACACGACTGCAGTACGCCGCGACATCTGACAGCTCCCAAGAAGGAGCCGGCTTGGCATCGCAATCTACGAAAGAGGAGGACTTCGGCGAGAATCACAGTGCGAGCCTATTTGGCTGGATACCCTGTGCGGGCCTTCGAGGTGCACAGGGCAGTTCGTGCATTGTGGGGGCACCACAGCCGTCCGACGATTGTGGAGCAGGCCCTACGCAAGTTGCAGGGCACCATGTCGTCGTGGAGATGCACTTGCAACCAGACCAACAAGGCCTCTGCCATTTTTTGCCCTGGTTGTGGCAAACATTGGCAACACAGTGCCCGGAGACCGAAGTCACCAAGGCAACGGGATACGGCTGGTGGCAAAGCCGAAGGCAAAGGCAAGCTCAAAGGCCCCAAGGAGCCATCGGCACCATCTGCGCCGAATGTGGCACAGTTGCCGAAGCCGCCGAAGCCACGCAAAGTTCCGGTGCCAAAGGAGGAGCCGGGGAGTGCTGCCCCCGCACCCTCCGAGGAGAAGCGGACTCTGGACGCCCTTGTAGCGCAGCTCGCACAGCAAGAAGACCTGCCGGACAACCTGCGAAAGATGGTGTCTCAGATTACGCAGGGCTCAGTCAAGACCGAGTCCAAAGCACTACATCGTTTGGTTGCACAACGACAGGAGGCTATTACGGCGCTGGAGCGAGTCCGTTCCGAGAGAGCGGGCTTCGAAGCTGGCTGGGCGACATATACCCAGTCGTTGCTAGATCTCTTGTCAGTTCAGTTCGAGGAGCGGACAAAGACGCTTGCCGAACTGGACGAGGCGCAGACTGCATGGACCAATCGGCTCACGGAGTCTACCAGTGCCCTGAAGGCAGCGACTCTAGCAGCCCCGGTCGTCGACCTCGAGGAGGAGATCGACGAGGACATGGATGCTGCAGTAGATCAGGCCGAGCAGGACACGGCGCGCCAGGAAGCCAGACAGCAGAAGATGGCGCAGCAGCACCAACAGCTGACTCAGTTACTGGTTTCGGTGAAGGAGTCAGCAGAGGGATCCGCAGAGCGACGGGAAGGCTCACGGACCCCCCGGCGCCGCGCGAAAGAGGAGATCATCCAGGAGCTCGACAAGGCGAAGCAGCATGCCGAGACCAAGAAAGCAGCGGAGGGCGACGAAAGCAAGCGAGCAGCCGAGGCCAAGGCTGCTACCAAGGCGCCCTCGCAGCATTTTTGATCGGCTCCTCACAGTGCCTTCTAGGAGGTGGGGAGCCGACAGTGACCTTGTCGCTCTTTGGGGACAAGGACAGCCACTCTGCGCAGACGGAATGGGACTTTGTGGATGAGTCTACGGCCGCTATGCTTGGAGTGCAGCTTGTATATGAAGCCTACTGTTGCCCACGGAGTTCGGCCAGCAGCTGGTGGAGAGATCCCCGTGTTCGTGGTCCGGATACGGTTGAAGATACATTGTATGAGCCGCTTGCCAGGGGGTGCTCTCTGCGGCATTCCGGGAAAACTCAAGCCACATGGACAGCCTGGCTGGGCAGAGTACCGACGAGGTCGCAGGTTCACCACTGGCGACTGTCAGGACCATCCTGGCTCATGCTACTGTTCGGGATGACGCGGTGTACAGCAAGTCTGTTAGAAGCCTGTACAGAGTTTCTTTTTCGGATACTGTCGAAGAGTACAACCTTCGACCACCGCCCGCTTTCAACCTGCGGCGATGTGTGCAGGATTCTCTCGATGCCCATTTGCAGCGGATGCAGCCTGTTGCTCGCTCCGCAGGTGTCCTTCTAGGCAGCAAGGTTGGAGGTTCCAGCACACTCATTGGCCCTCGGTTGCAAGCCGCTATGAAGCACGTGCAGCCAGCCGGGGCGAGCACTGCACTTCTATCCCAGCCACCTGCCTCTCCTTTGGCCCCCTTGTTTGCACCTACGGAGTCCAAGGTCGGTTCCTTGTCGAGCCTTGCTCCGTGGGATGTTCCAGTTTTGCCAGAGGACCTAAACCAGCACGCTGCCAGGAACCAATGTGTGTCTAGTTTCCCATGGTTCGCAGGGTTCAGAGCAACCGGTGGCGTTACCTGCACCTCGCAGCAGTATCGGTATGCTCTCTTCTCTGTCGAAGGTCAGGCTGAGGTGCGCGAGCTGGGACCTGGTTGGAGCTTGAACGACGTCATCCAAGACATCCAGCGGGCTATTCCGAACCTTAGGAATATTCGGGTGCTGCTGCGCAGGCTAGCTGGATTCCCGGCGCTTCAGATCGCAGCTACGTCATCTATTGTGCCCCTTCCGGGCCACGCCTACCCACTGGATTTGCGATCAGTGGGCGGCCGGGTGTGTACCGTTGTCCTCTTTCCCGGAATGACAGATGGCGAAGTCAATGACCGCATTAAGAGGGAGTGTCAGGCATTTCGCAGGCCAGGCCGTGCCTTCTCTTTGCATTTGCCCGATGGGCGGCCTTTCCGGGCTATCCCCTTCCAAGTCTTGGGGCCCGATTTTATCAAAGGCGAGGCGGCGGATACAGTGGAGGATGGCCCCGACTCTGCTCTGGGACAGCATCCTCTGGAGGAGGACTGGGGCTCTGGGGCCGTGGAGCATGACGAGGTTGATATCTTGCAGCTCTCCATTCATCGTGTTTGTGCCTCTGGCGACCGTATGGGTTCATCACTTCCCGGTGACCCTGCCAAGCACTTCGCTTTGCCTGCACACCAAGGTCTACAGGTTAAGCCGGAGCGTGCCCAGCCACTTTGCGTTGACACTGCCACCGCGAGTGGGCCCTGTTTCTCCACTGGTGACATTGTGGGCTTCGCCTGTTTGCAACTTGTTCGCAAGTCCACTGCACGACCGCCTGTGTCGCCGTTGCCTGACCTCCAGGGGGTTGTTTGCCCCGCCGGGCCCGCGGCTAAGCAGCCTGCAGCCAGGGTGGCACCATGTCTCCTTTCGGACCTGCGTGATGCAATTTCGGCACAGGTTCCCCTTCGGCCTGCGTGGATGGCGGGCCAACAGTTCTCCCCTCCCATGGATTATGCCTGTGTTGCTAGCCACCAACGGATCCGTCCTCTCGACGGTTCTATACGATTTTTGAACCTCGGTTGGACCATCGACAACGCTCTGCCCCTCGTGAATGGAGGTTGATCGACTTCGTCACAGACGCGATTCGCGGCCTTGTTCATACTGTCGAAGTCCTCTTCCCAAGCCCAGCTATCTCAGTTTGGGAGGTGCTCCACCATAAAGGGCTGGACGCAACGGGGGAGTGGGCTGCTGCGCACACGGAGGGCCATCTGTATCTTCTTGACCAGGACGGCCGAGAAATCACGGCTTGGGCCGAAACGGCTGATGGGCCTGAGTGGGCTGAGTTTGCTGCGCGCCCTGGCCCTTGGCAAGCGCGTCGTATCTCCTACGGTAGTGCTGCTGCTCCTGTTCTTCAGGTCACCACCACTTCCACGACGACCACGACTACTGGCATGGCTGTTGATCAGGCGGAGACGGGCTTCCCCCCCTCGCTGCTTGGTGCCCGACTTCTCAGCACCAGCGATGTGTCATGCCAAGCCGCCGACACCATGCCCTTCCAGGTCCTCCCTGTGCACCTCTCCCCGGCTTGTGTTCGCGGCCTGCCAGCGGCACAACTCCATTTGTACCAGGAAAACAGTATGGGCTCTCATGGCCGCGATTTTCTTGTCTTCGGCAACGAGGGAACAGGTGTCGTCAGGCAGGCGCGTGCCGATTGGACTGTTGAGCAGTTTTTGCAGGAGGCTGCCGCGGTTTCCCACTCGGCTACTCGCTCGGTCCGCTTTCTTAGCCTACCACTCCCTGGGCTTCCCACACCGCAACTGACAGTGACAGACCAATCAGCCGACATGGATCATGTTCTGCTGCCAATTGATGTCCGAGAAATTGGGGGTGGTGTGGTTGCTGTGGTAGTGGGTCCCGGGACTCCCTGCAGCGAGTTGTTTGCGACACTTTTGCGTGCGGTCCCTGAGCTGGCAGGAGTCTTGCAAGAGCTTCTCGCCGTCGATGGTGTCTTTTTGCAAGATGAGGTGGGTCAGGTATGGGAGCAGACACCCTCCGATCCTGGCATGTCTCAATGGGTGGCTGTCCGCCGCGACCATAGGCTTTTGCAGCAGCTGCGTGGGCCTTTGCCTCCTGTGATGGACGACGACACCACGAGCACGACCACTGCGGTTGCTGCTCATCCGGCTGTTGAGCCCTCGGTTGTTTTCGTTCTTGTCGGAGGAGGGACCCTGCTCCGGCTGGCTCCGCAGAGGCTTTCACAGCTTAACCTGGCTGCTTCGCTCACCGATTTGCTCATGCTTCTTGCTATCCATGGGCGTCTGCCGAGTGAACCTGTGGTCACGGTGGCGGCAGCAATGCCCCGAGCGGCC